GAAAGAAGTATTCATTAGAGAACAAGGCTACACATCTTATAATTTTCAGCTTATGTTTAGATTTAAGTTCTCTAGTAAAATTAAAATAGTCACAAGAATGGAGTAAATTTGATCTACATGGTGCCTATTTTTGGTGATTTGTAATAAATGTTTTTTCTCATTCTAGGTCGCTGAAAATATGACAGGCTGACATGGGAGGAGATTTCTGCATGAGAAGAATACCAGGTCAAAGTTAACAGAGGCTTTGAAGATTGTTACTATTTAGGAAATGAGTGGAATAAGTGTGTGTGTGAGAAGGTTTCAGAATATTTGTTAGCTTCTTGAAAAGCATGTATGTATAGTATAACTTTGAAAAGTTTTTAATGAGATAAGTTCATGTGTAATCTCATTGCTTGCTATTTTTGTGATATTTGTGAATACAGTGCAATTGGTTGTGCATTTGCTGAACTTCCTAGTGTGTAGCAACAAATATTGCATAATGAGTATAGCTTGTTAATGCATCCTTTAGAAGTGCTAATATATCCTGGGTTTTATCTCTTGCATAGAGGAAAAACTGCATATACAATTTTAGTTTCATTTTATGAAGCCCATCCTGACTTTATTTTAATTAGAATGATGGTAGTGACTTAAGTCTTAACCTGAAAGTAAGGAATAAAGCACTTTTGATAATGTAAGTAACGAATGGTCCTTTTGATTTAGATTGCTGGGGAAAGTGTTGTGGGGGTTTCTTTTGGGGCTGTTTTGTTTGTTTGTTTATTTGCTTGTTTTTTATCTTGGAACTTCAGTTATCCATGCAGAAATGTATGCAAATTTAATGCTAGATTACATGGAATATTTTATGGAGTTCAGATGATACATTTGTTACACTTATTCTGGCTACTAGACCCAAAAATATTACAGCCATATTGCTACTGCCTAGTCAAAGCATACATAGGAAGCATCAGATTTGGTTGGTGGGAACCAGTGAGTCTTCAACAGTCATTCGGTATAAGAATGTCTTCTCATTCAGCACTAGGAATCTTCACTGATGCCGAAACAAATGTTTATAAGTAACTGTTATACAGTAAACTGTTTTACTGTGTTACTTACCAGTAAATATCCAAGAGTTCTGCTTCATAAGAAAATGTTTTTTTTTGTTGCTTCTTCATCTGCTGCTATTTAAGCGCTTTTTTTAATTTTTTGTTCTGTTTTTGCTAGCATGGTTCCAAGATGTAGCGTTAATGGGACTTAACCTCCAAGGTTAATAGTTTGGAGCACATTTGGAAATGAACCTGGAATCTTAGTTAATCCAAACATTATATTTTTGCAGAGAAAAAGAAGCTCTTTCTACTTTAAGAGTTTACGTTGTATGCAGTCTAGGTCATAGTTCTACAAAAAGTGATTGAAGGGGCTAAATACTTCAGTTGCTGGCAGAGAGAACAGAAAAATAGTTATGTTACGCTGAATCATTTACTATTGTTTCCAGTTAGGCTGACCAAAAAAATCATTCCAGGAAGGTGATGTGAAAACTTCTGTGAAGTGGTGGAGTCACCATTCCTGGAAGTACGTAAAAGATGTGTAGCTGTGGAACTCTGGGACATGGTTTAGTGTGGACTTGGCAGTGCTGGGTTAACAGTTGGACTTGATAATGTTCAAGGCCTTTTCCAACCAAAAAGATTCTATAACCAAGCTGGGAACAAGTGTTCATGAGTGAGCAAAATGATTCCACGTAAAAATCCTTTGTACATTGGTGGTGTAACTTCAGATTTATAATACTTCAGATTTAGAATATTGGGTGTAATGGTTTTTGAAAATGCTGAGGTATCTCTTATATGAAGAGATATAAACAGTGAAATTTATCCTAGGGAATCTTAGAAGTCATTAAAACGTCATGAAAATGCCAGGTCAGATCAACAGAAATTATCAGTTAGCTTGTACACTTAATTTTATCTAAACTCAGTGCTGCATGTCAAAAATGAGAAAAGACCGGGGAGCTTTCTTGCTGGTTTGGGGAGTTGTGTCTAAGCCTGTGAGTTCTCACTTGTGAAACCTAGACTCTGAAAGTTTTCTGTAAACTAAAGCAAATGTGCCCTTCTGGTAAGAAAAGAAAATCCCTGTAGCAAGGAGTTTCATACTGGAAATGTTTCTCTGCCCTAAAATAAGTATCACTTTGTTGGAATCCCAACTATGTGAACGTGAGCATTGATGGCTCAGAAGTCTTGGCTGCATTTGTAACACACAGTCTTCTACAATGTTTAACTAAGAAGCTGAGCAAACAGCACGTGCTCCATACTTACATGCTCTTGAAACTCTTGAAAAAATAAACATAGGAACAGCTATACAGGTCTCAACCAAAAGTTTTTCTAACACAATAGCCTCTCTTTTAGTCAAAAGCGCTGCCTAGGAAGGAGAAGAACAATGCAAGCACATTTGGTTCTTTTCCTTCTGTGTTCTCCTAGCTTCCAAGTGTCTTCTATTCCAGGCTTTCCTGCACATCATATGGTTTGTCTATTTAGTAGTCCCCCGTGATTCTTTTTCCAGTACTTGTCCAGTTTCCCTTCGGCCATATATGCTTCCTGAATAACAGTCACCCTCATCAATTGGTATGTTTCCTAAAGAATTGCTGTTACTTGTTTATTTTGAACCTGATTTGCACTAGCTTAGCTTAATGTTCCCTGCACAGTAAGCTTTTACCTGCCATGCTTGTGCCAGTCATGGATCTGCACATACATAACATTCACGTTTAAATTTCCTCTTCTAAACTGAAATGCATTAGTTAAGCTTCTGTATTTATTGTCCTTTGAAACTTTTCTGAGTCTTATGTATTATTTTCTGAGAGCAGAACAAAAACAGCGCACAACATTAGGCATGCAGTTAAGTACTGGCCTGTTTGTTTACTTTCTTGTTCTTTATTTCTTTCCTAGTAGTTCCTCATTTGAGTTTTTAAATTTGAGCTGAGCACTGAACTGTCTTCATGGCATTATCTGTTGTAACCACAGGATCTCACTCTTGAGCAGTAATGATAAGCTGAGAGGCTGTTGGTTCACAGGTGAAAGTACGGTTGTTTATCTCCATGTATACAATTTTTATTTATCTTTGCTGAATTGCATCTGCCATTTTATTTCCTAATCAGTCTTGTATGTCTTTCTGCAGCTCTTCACAGTTTGCTAGTTGTCTTACTACTGTCACTAAGTTTATCCTTGTCAAATTTTGCCACTTTGTCCCTTTTTAGAGATTAATTACGAATAGGTCAAGCAGCACATGAGTTAGCAAAGGCCGCTGGTAACCTATGACCTTATTCCCATTGATTTTCAGTGATTGTGAATAAAATGCAGTTCTGCCTACTAGTGCCTACTTATTCTTAAACCCAGTATTTTTAGTGTCACATACAGCACAGCTGTGAGAGACTAAGCACAATCATGAATCCAGCCTGGCCAAGCCATTGCATTCTAGATAACTAACAGAATCAGTGCCATTTTAATTGTATAATTAGGTTTCATCGATATAAATTAAGTAGAAAAATAATTTTACAGGAAATTGTAGCATACCAGAAAAGAACACAAACATGATCCTGAAGTATCTATCTTAACATGACTATCTTAACATTAGGAGTTGTTATTTCTCAGGTAACTGTGTTAGCAAAAGCAAAAAAAAATCTGTTAACAAGAAGAAGAAAAGACAAAAACATGAAAACAAACAAAAAAACCCAACCCAGAAATCTGGATGATGATCAGGCCAAGACACTTGACCTAATAGATCTGTACCCATAAAAAGTGCATGTATATTTGTCAGCTATTTTTCTTTCCAGCTGAGCAAATACTGATTTAGTCTTAGACTTTCTTGTTAATCCAGTCAGCTAGTTCCCCCTGCAATGAACCTGAATGCTCTTGTAGATATACTTTACTCCAGGGACTGCTCCTAGTAGGCTGCGCCAGGTTGGGCCCTACCATTCTTCCCCAATGCTTTCCACTTTCAAACACTGCCATGTACTTTTGCATGTTTATACTTTCATGCTATAGAAACCCTGCAGCCCTCATTATTTGACTAGACATCGTGTTAAAAGAAAAAGCACCAAAAAATGACAATAAGAATTAGTGGTGACCCATGACAGCATGCTATGTAGTATGTGTGTAGAGAGCCCTCTTTAAAGAGAGGTAATGCCAAGCAGTGGGACTTCGCAACTTCGCAACTTCGCATTGCTATGCATCATCTGAGCTAGGGACTTAGGCAGGCCTTTAGTAGTGGAGATTCACCTCTTTGAACCGCAAATACTACTTTTAATTAAAGTTTGGAAAACCAATTTCCAAAGATTGAAAGGTGTGCCAAATTAATTTCAACCTTTTAAAAAGCAAGGCAGAATTGATAACAGAATTGAAGACCAGTCACCCAGCATCAGCTCTTGTAAACAGTGAACCAGTGAACTTGTGATTTTATGGGCAAAGAATGAGACCAAAAAAAATGTACTGAGTTCCATTTGAACCTTGCTTGGTGGAAATGTCAGTGGACTATTTTTTTTCTTATTTATGGGTTTATATGCGAGATGTTGGTGCAGTATGCTTCAATTTATGCATCACAATTTTCACTTGAAACACACCATTAGCATCACTTAGTAAAAACAAATGTACTATGTTGGTACCCATTTTGCTGTCTCGTTACCTCAGGAGTGAGATTGACAAAAAAAAAAAAAAAAACAAAACCCAAAAAAATAAACCAAAACCCAAGCTTTAAAAATGTAAAAACCAAACATCTCAGTTCTTAAAAACTCTTTATCAGGGTCTGTAGCAATAGGACAAGAGGTAATGGGTTCAAACTTAAACAGGGGAAGTTCTTCAAGAGCGGTGAGGCACTGGAGTGCCCAAGGAAGTTGTGAATGCTCCATCCCTGGTGGCATTCAAGGCCAGGTTGGACAGAGCCTTGGGTGACATGGTGTAGTGTGAGGTGTCCCTGCCCTGTGGTTGGGTGATTGGAACCAGATGATCTTAAGGTCCTTTCCAACCCTAACTATTCTATGATTCAAAGTCATGATTTAATCCAGTTTCTAGGGAAATGTCCCTAATGTCTCTCTGCAGGATGTCAGATGCACTAGTTGTGGCAGTTGCTTCTGCCTGCAGAGTCCATGTAGGTTGGTGTGAAACAGCTCTAAGTAACTTGAAGAAAATTAAGAATATTTAGGATGAATATCAGTAATGTTTCTGTCAGAGAAATGCAAGCTTGGTTTCTGAGACGTTTAAACATTACCTGATAAGAAAACCCCAAACAACACAACTATTAATTATCTGAACTAGCAATCTGGAATATATTAAGTCCAGGCACTTTTATTATCACTTCATAAATATTCCTGTTTTCTCACCTCAGATTCTTGTAAGGAAAGAGCAGCTCATGAAAATATATCTCTGAAAGAGCTCAATAGTGTCATTGCATGGGCGAGCAGGTTTTTTTAAAGCTCAGTTGTAACTTTGAGTAAAGGAGATGGAAAATGTGGGAGTGGAAGAGGCGGCACTTGGCCATGCTGTGGTTCCCAGGGCAGCAGCCAGGAGAACCCCTGGGCAGGGAAGGGAGCCGTGAGAGGGTGAAGAGGCTGAGGGACATCCCAGCTTGATTTCATTTGGTTATTTTATTTGTACGCTAGATTCAAAATTGTTGTCTTTGAAGATAACAGCAGGTAAGAATTATTTAATGGACAGGAGATACAGGATAGAATACTGTTAATAGATTGTCGTATCACCCTACTCCCACCCACAGGTTCAGTTCCTTTAACAAGAGATTTTACGAGTTAGGTGGTAATTCATTAAACACTCTCCACAATGCTGAAGCTGTGTCAGGGTACTGTGTGAGCCCAGGACTCCTTGAGGGCAGGGGACATCAGGGCAGGGCCTGGCACCCCAGGCCTGTCTCACCACCCCAGCCAGGGAGACGTGGTCGGGCCCAGCAAGGGGAATCTGGGATGGCCATGCTAAATCATTTTTGACCGTTGCATGTTTCTTTGGCCTTGAAGCTGGCAGTGGTAAGACAACAAGGCTGCCATCACTACCCATTGGCACAACTTGTGAAGACACCACATGAAGGAGCTGAATCATCAGCTGTCACTCCACCCCATCTCAGTGTTTGCTCTAGGCCATCTCATCAGCTGTCACTCCATCCCACTTCCCTAGGCTCCCACACATTCTTTGTGACATTCTTCCTGCCTTCCTGAAAAACTGCTTGGTACACCCTCTGTTTTTGTTCCCAAGCCATGTTACAGGGGCAGATGACTGTGAATGGGATGAATTACAATTTTGGGACGGGTCAGCTCATTGAAGAGAGAGAAATAGTCTCATTCCTGTCACCAGCGAACTTGTGTTGAACTCAAAGTGTATTGTGAGCAGCAGCAGGTGGTTGTTTACTATGTGTGATTTACAGCTGTGAAAAACCCAAGATGTTACAATAATATGCACCTTGCCCTTAAAGGTCAAGACTTTATGAGATATAAATGCTGCAAGAACAACGTTAAGGGAAAACATTAATCACTTGTGAATATAGTACTCTGGCATATGTAAGATTTAATGAGGGATTTAAAGAAGGCACTGGTCTTACACGTTTTGAAGATGCATGCAGAAATATCTGGACAAACGTTTCCTAGGACATATAAAAAGAAGCCTTGCTATTTTCATACGGAGAACTCAGGATACAGTTTGAGTTGTATAGGATATTATATGTTGAGGGATACAAGCTGAAGTAAAATGCAGGCTCTTTTCAGATAAAGCACTTTTCTAATTAAAAAATGAATGATTTGTTTAGGTTTGCTGTTCAGATGAAACCAATCAAGACACAGGAACAACTCAGCAAGGTACGTGCACAGCTGTTTATTCCTCTGTGCTGTGACGTTTGCACTCACATTGAAGGCAGAAAAATATCTATGGCACATGCACAGACTGATAATCTAGCCTGTATTTTTAGAATGTTATCTTGGGCTAAGCATTTCACTGTTAAGAATGACATCAGTTATAAAGCTGCCAGTCTTAGTCACTGCTGTCTGCTCTGGTTAGATGACTTTGCAGCAGCCATTCCATTTTTAGAAGTGCTGGGCCAAACTTGGCATTGACTTGCACCCTCTGAAGTTTTATTGAAGTTGGTGAAATAGCAGTACAGGGCATGAACCCACAGTTCATCTTATCTGTGACTGAATGGAGGACATAAAAACATTATTTTGTTTGGGCAGATTCTTTAACTTTCCCATGGGAGGACACTCTAGTTAAAATAGGTTGTTTTCCTTTATCAAAATATTAAAAAAAAAGAATTAAAATTAAAGATCAAAACAATTTTACTAAAGTCTTGTTTAGTAAAAGATTTAAAGATTTTCATTTAGTATGGTGTTATTATAATTTGTCATGCTAGGTCTTGTGCTCCCATTTCTTTTTGGTGAGCTGAGTTTTCTGCCCAAATATATCTGCCACAGTTCATCATTGTCCTCTCCTGTTTTAAAGGGGGTCAGGCTTCAATATTTTCCAGTTTTTCAGCTGTCATTTCTATAATATTTCCCCAAGATGATCAGGCACTGTTCAATAAAGACTTTTCTTGGCAACTCGTTTGTCTCCTGGAAGCGATTTTGATGTAATTATTTCAATTGGTGCTAACGTGCACAACTGCTCAAGAAACTGGAGTCACATAGTATTCTGCATGGCCAAATCTACTTAGTCTCCTGGTGTACAAATGTTTGTACTTATGTACCCCTAAAGTACCTTTAGAGTGTCATAGTGTGCAGTGTAGGTATCCAGTGCATCAGCATATGTATGCTATGCCATATGTGTATAGAGATATCACATAAATATCAGGGATAGTGTTCATTCTTCTAAAATACAACTTTTATTTGCTTTATGTAATGACTATGTAATATGTCCCATGTCAGATACCAGGTATCCAAGTCACATTTGGTGACACAGGTGTAGGCTTTTCAAAAAACTCTCTAGGAAAATATGTCAGGCAGAACAAGAGCTTTGCCCTGTTTTCAGTATACTGGTCTTTCTCTACCCCAGCCTTTGTCTCAGCTGATACAACCTTATTTGTGTTACAGACCTTTGTATGTACAAAGGTCTGCCTATTTCATCTTTGCAGCAGTTAAAGTTTGTCTTTAAGAATTTTATGAGCATGGTGCCATTATCCTTCATGCCTTTCACGTTTACTTCTGTAATTATTTCTTTAAAAAACTTCCCGTAGTTAGAGCAGGATAAATATTACTGGAAAGGGTTGCATATTCCACTAGATGGCAGACAAACATTTGCAACCACTGCTGCAGCTTTGTAAAACACACCTCTGTTAGTTTTGCGTGGGTTCTAATAAATAGAATTTTATTATCAATTTCTAGTTTAATGAAGAATTGTTGCAATTTAGCCTTTAGATTTATTTTTTTGAAACATTTTAAAACTATAAGGAAGAATAAAAGATATGCTATTGATTGCATGACCTTGGTTCACAAAAGAGAGCTGAGATTTAGGCACTTAGCATGTATTTTATGCATTTAACTTTTACTCATATGGGATATACCAGTAGTAAAATAGCCACAGTTGAGGGAGTTTTCAGCACAGCTAATCAGTATTGTCATCTTTTTCTTTTCATTCAGAGTAGTAAAATGTACACAACTGTCTTAGTGCACCAAAGGAAGTTCTGCAACCTTCTGTGGTTCATAGCCATTTTAGCTTTTCCCTTTTGGTGTTTATGTACTTTCTGGCAGTTAATCATCAATCTACATCATTTAATACAAGAAGGCACAATCAAGATAAGGGTAGCACGTAGACTAACTGTGTGTAGGAAGAGATGCCTCCCTGACGAGGATGTACCATAGGAGCACCACAGTTTTAATCAAATACCAACTGAATAGCCACATTTATTAGATGTGGTAGATTAGGTAAGAATATTTTCCAATAGCAAAAATAGAAGGGGCAGGATGAATTCTTCCACCTGCCTGCTGGCCAGGAGCTCATCTATGTCTGTCAGGTGTTTCTGGTTCTGTTTCTTGCCTGTGGTCTCCAAAGGGAGACCACATTAGAGGGAGGATAGGGGTTTCCTAAAGTAGGATATTTAAGGGGGTGGTAAAGAAGTGACATGTTAATCTTCAGCCTCCCACCATAGATGACAATCTCTCAGGGAGAAGATGTAGCTCCCTGCATAATCAGATGAGGTTATCAAGGGTTAATTAGTGAAAAGAGAGCTGTCCCCATCTCCATCCTCCCCACAGTTCACCCATTAAGCCCTTTCCAAAATCTTTAGTAAAATTGTCATTTTATACTTTAGTGTGGTGGTGGTTTAGTGAAAAACCCAGATGATTTCAACTATCCTTAAACCTCTGTTTTTCTCTGCAGTCAATGGAGAGGCAAGCTCTTTCAGTGGAGAGGGGCAAATTGGAGCACTAAAGTTATTCTTCATCTCTGAATTGCTCTCTAAAGGAAACTCTTTTGACTGAAGAGGTAACCCAAGGAGAGTAGCATCCTGAGGCTAAGATTAGTCTTTGCAGATATTCCCATTAGATCATCTACTCTGACTTCCTGTGTTTCACAAGCCTTTGAATTTCACCCAGCAGCCTCTCTATTGAATTCAATAACTTGTGTTTAGATAAAGCATATCCAAAAAGACATTTATTCTTGAGTTGAAGACATTAATAGAGATAGTGTATCCATTGCTTCCTTTGTTGGTTTGTTCCGTAGTTAATCATCTCCACTATTAAACTTTGTGTGCCTTATTTCTTTTAATTTATCTGACTTCAGCTCAGTACACAGCTGCTTGTTATGCTTTTTCCTTCTTAACTAAAGAACCCTTTAGTCTGTGGGATTTTCTCCTGAGGGAGCTATTATAATCAAGTCACCACTCTATATTCTTTTTGATAAGCTGAAAGGATTTTCCTGTCTCTAAAGCGTTTTTCCTCTTTTCTCCAGTGCTCATTCTGGTCTTCTCTGCAGCCTGTGGTGGTTTCGCCTTCCCTTCTGTCTGATAGCGATCTCACCTGTGCTGTGGGTGGAGATAAGATCAGTCTAGCCTATTCACTCTTTTCCTCCGCTATCACACCCAAGGTTCCCTTTGAGCTATGCTTTCTCAAAGATCCCCTAAGTCCTTTCTGGAGTTACTGTTTTGCAGAATGTGATCCTCCATTTTTCACGTATGGCCCAACTTGTTCCTGGTTGTTTAGCTTTTCATGTGTCTGTGTTAAAATAGATTTAATCTGAATCGGTCCACTTTTTGAACAGGTCAAAATCCTTCTGTCTGTCTTGTCTTTACATTTACCACTCTGCCAGTTTTTGTGTAATCCACAAATGTATCAGCAACAACTTTTTCATTTAGTTCCAGTTTATCCATGATAAAGTATCAGCACAGCTACTGAACCTTGCATCACCCTGCTAAAATCAGGATGGGTGCTCCTGCTTTATATAACAAGAGTGTGCTCTTGCATTATGTGATACAGCCACAGTGTGTGCTTATGTATATGTCCTGTCCTTAATTAAATCAAATCTCAACAATATCTTTGCTTTTGTGAACTGAATTGTGGAATATTTAACCATTTCTGAATCCTGTGAAAGGAATTTTTACTGTGATTGTTTAGGCCATAAGACAAAACAAAAAATAAGAAGAAAAAGCTGTCAGGCTTTCTAAAGTTGAAACTCCCTACAAAAGTCTGAAAGTATGCTGTTACAGATA